AATAATATTACACACACACACACACACACACACACACACATATATATAAAACATTGTATTATTATTATTGTTGTTTTTGTTATTATTATTATTATTATTAATAAACATCATACAACTACATAATATACATCATCTAATAAAATAAAAAACATAAATATAAAAGTAATTTTAATAAATATAATATAATGTATTTAAATATTTTTTATTTTAGTAGATGATGTATATTATAAAGATGTATGATGTTTAATAATAATAACATAATAATAATAATAATAATAATATTTGGTTACATTGGTTACCATGGTAAATGTTTTAAGGGTGGCGTGAATAATCTCTGTAATCAGTTTTATAATGTTTCTTCACTGTTCTTAAGTGCAGCACTCAGAATAGGCTGCGGTCACACTTTCCATATGGTGTGAACTTATTTCGTCTACCTGCTCTCTGTTCTGGGTTTTCAACACCTTCACACCTTCACACCTTCACACCTCCTACCCTCCGTTTTCTCCCTTCAGACTGGACAATTGATTTTTTTATTTCATATCATTAGCTGACTATGTGTTGCTGCTCAGAGCTGTCTCTTGTCAAGTACGGCTATTCTGGGAATGTGACATTTCATTTCTGCTGTTTTCACCTTTATTTGAGCGAGCAAAAGGCCAATGAGTCTTCAGTGATGGCTTAGTCTCCTCTTCACCTCGCTTGACAGAAGCACGAGTTGCTTCGTTTTTCTAAACATCTTTCTGAGCTGAATTTGTCTACATACTGCACAGAGAGTTGAGTTACTGCCTGAACCACTGAGACTTGAAGAGTAGATGCAGTTCTGAGATTTTACAGATGATTTGATATCACTTGGTATAGTGTGTAAGGTCTGATTATATATTTAGTTTTTAGGAAAGGCATACTAGTTATTTCTTAAAGGGATAGTTCACCTTAAAATTACTATTCACTCTCCCTCATTCCAACTCATCTTCATGAAAAATAACCGCAGATGTTTAAAGGAATAGTTCACCAAAAATGAAAATTTGCTTAAAATTGATTTACCCTCAGGCTATCCAAGATGTAGATGAGTTTGTTTCTTCATTGCATCAGATTTGGAGAAATTTAGCATTACATCTCTTGTTCACCAGTGGATCCTCTGCAGTGAATGGGTGCCGTCAGAATGAGAGTCCAAACAGCTGATAAAAACATCACAATAATCCACAAGTTATCCACACCACTCCAGTCTATCAGTTAATGTCTTGTGAAGTGTTTGTAATATATTTCACTCAATCCATAGCATTGCTTTCTCCAGTGAAAAAGTCATCTCCACTGCATCAGGAGAGAAATATGCACAGATCAAGAACCATTTACAAGCAAAAACAGTTCTAAACAAATATGTAGGTGGATTTTGATGTGAGAGCAACAGAGGATGGACTTTTTCATTGTAGGAAGCGTTGTTATGGATTACGGACTCGTATTTTAGCCAAAAGTGACATTTTAAAGTTAAGACACCCTCAAATGATGGATTTGTTTCTTTTCACTTCACAAGACATTAACTGATGAACTGGAGTGGTGTGGTTTACTTCTAATCCTTCAAGTGTTTCAATTAAATTTATTGTATGGTTTTGGAAGACTTTGAATCATTTACATTTTTTTCTCGACATCGCCGTCCCCATTCATCATGCATATACAGTATGGAACAGTATATGGCTTGGAACATCATGAGGGTTTTTTAAGCTATATTTTCATATTAATATCAACATTATTTTATCACGAATTAGAATCATTCATATTAAATACTTTAATCTTATTTTATTATTGAATGATTCCATGATTAATTGCAATAGTCGCATTTTCTACTTGTTTCTATTAACAACAAAGTGTTGCAAATGGCCAGATGAAATCCACAAGAAAAGACTGTGTCACGCAAGGTCAGCGTTAGTCAATTATGTCCCCAATCATCATGAAATTGCTGCCTAATTGTGAATTTAAATTCAGTCTGAGTGTGTAATCATAGCTTCAGCGGCTCGGAGCTGTGTGCTTGCAAAGAAATGTCATACGGTTTGAAAAGGTGTTAAAGACTCGGCCCAATTTTCTATTCATGCATAGTTTTTCATCGCACTGAAGTGGTTAAACTTTGAAACGGAGAGATTTATGTCGTCTTTGTTTGGAATATAATAGATGACTCTTGCTAAGATGATTTGGGAAGTGATTGTAGCTGTCCTCACCCACCTCGACTAATCATTCCAGCGGACTGTACCATTCATCTATTTCAATCTGTGGCAGCTGTCAAATATAGATCGCTAGAATGCATTCCCTGCATAACCCACCGCTAAAGATGGCGCCATTCTCTCAGAACTGGGCCATGCCAAAGACACTCATGTACGGCAGCCAGGAGAATCTATTTTCAGTCCAGTGCAAATGAGACTGCAGGCATCACGCTACGTGTCTGGCCTATAAACTTGACTGTGTACCTTACGATATTGAGATCTAAGTGATATGTAGCCTATAGCTGATGACCCATGTGGCCTAGACTTTAGGTTGAGTTCGGATTAAACTATAGCCAACCCTTGTGCGATACCCAAAGTGTTGCTTTGACCTGGTAAAACAAAAATCTCTTGAATTCATTTCTTTATTTATTTGAGCTATTAACAAATGAGGGCTATTTTTGTGTTACTCAGTAATTATTTGAGAAGTGGATAAACAATTAAACAATCACTTAATGTTGAGAATAAATAGATCAAAGAATCATTTACCAAGTTATTAAAATATGTGAATTTAATTCAACTAATTGAAAAACTCATTTATTTATTTTGACTGTTTATTAAAATCACAGCTTTTTGTATCTTGCTTTATCGATGGCACACAATTTTGTGTTAGAATAGAATATATAGAAAACTCTGGATATTCATTAATTATCCTTAATTATAAAATGTCTACAATTTTGGAATTTTTGGAAACCTTTCAGTTCAGCACATTATTATTATCATTATTATTATTATATTATGTAATAATATACATTTTCTTTTATTGTTATATTTTCTGCTTTCATTTTAATTTGAGTTAAATTCGTTAATTATCCTTAATTATAAAATGTCTAAAATGTTCGAATTTTTGTAAACTTTTAAATTCAGCACATTATTATTATTATTATTGATTCATATAAATGATCTTTTATTGTTATATTTTCTGCTTTCATTTTAGTTAAAGTTTTAGTAATTTTGTTAAATTTTTTTTTCTTAATTTTTCTTATATTTCTTTTAGGTCTTCTTTTAACTTAATTTTTTTATTTCATTTATAACTTTAGTAATTTTAGTACTTTAACTTCAACTTATTTTATGTCAGTTAGCTGCCAAAAAAACGTTTATTTCCATTTTACTTATTTTTTTATGAAAACCATTTTTAATCATTTTAGCGTTAATTAACAGAAACAACACTTTCAGCAATTGCAAAATAAATTATGACAGATTTGATATCAAACTTATTGATAATTGCTTTTTTTTTTTATATATATATTGATTTTTTGAATTTATTACCCTATTTTTGATTTGCCACCTAGCACTGGCACTCAGCCTGCTGTCCTGAAGTTTTGTTTTAAAGATGGTTATGAGTAAATTTGTGACTCTATGGCAGTAAGGATAGTTTTCAAAGTCTAGAAATAGGTCAAGCTTCCAAGTTTAGAATATTATTAAATGTTCAAGGAAATGAGTACGTAGTTGACCTTTGCAAGCCGTTCCCTTTCTGTGCGTCAGTATCAAAACTCAAAGTCAGACTCGGAGCATTGGAAGCTGAAGTGCAGGTTTGTGTGGTGTGGAGTGAGACGCTGAGGTGGGCCTGTCCAGACACGGTGGCCTGCAGCTTCACCTTCTTCCCGCAGACGCCGCCTCACAGGTTTGAAAGGATTGACCTTTCAGATTTGACCTCTGGTTTAAGCCTAATTCCTGCCCCGCTCGGCCTCCCCTCTCACACCAGGATGTTCTAACCTCCCCCTCTCTGTTCTTCTGTCTGCAGACTTGAACGAGTGTGGCCTGAAGCCTCGGCCGTGTAAACACAGGTGCATGAACACGTACGGGAGCTACAAATGCTACTGCCTAAACGGCTACATGCTGCTGCCTGATGGGAGCTGTGAAAGTGAGTCACATCTCGTTGTTTTGGACGTGGTGTCCAACTGTTTCAATCGCCGGCTCGTTCAATAGCTCTTCAACGCTCTGCTTGAAACGTATGATAGTGCTGCCCTGCAGGGAGAACCGCAATGTGTGTATACTGTTTCTACAAGCTAGATTTCCACTGGCTTTTCAGCATGTTGTTCCAAAACAGTTTTACAAAGAAAAAATTGTGCAGTGCAAAAATTGTATAGTGCATACAACATAAAATTTCGTTAGAGAAGAAGAGAACAAAAAGCAGTATTGTCTTCTGACTTTTATATACTAAAATTATTTTATATATTCTACTTTTTATTTTATTTTATTAAAAAAAAATAAAATATATGCATTTTCCCTGTAGGAAAAAAAAATATTCTTGTTAAAAAAAATTCTATTTTTATAGTTTCATTTAGAGGAGAGAAAGAGCAGTACTGTCTTCCTGAATATATGTTTTTTTCTCCAATACACAAATCAGATAACTAGATAATGCAAAATATGTGTAATGCTTACAGCATAAAATTATTCTTGCTGCAAAATAAATCAGATAATCAGACAATGCAAAACCACATAATGTATACAGCATAAGATTTTGCTTATTATAAATAGTTTTATTTTTACAGTTTTTTAGAGAGGAAAACATAAGCAGAATTATTTGATTTATTTTGGTTTGATTTGATTTGATTTTACAAATATGCATTTAAAAGGTTTTATTTATTTTTTCTGTAAAACGAAAATCACTATTTTCTTTCCTGGATTTTATTATATATCTATCCATCCATCCGTCCATCTGTCCATCCGTCCGTCCATCCATCCATCCATCCATCCATCTTCTCCCTTACACAAATCATTCTATGAGCTCAGGGCGTCTCTCAGCCCTGCAGAGAGTTTTCAGATGACTCACAAAAAAAGATGAGAAAGCTGTGAACTTCAACCCTGCCAGTAAAGGCTAAGTCTTATTGCTGGCCTCAAGCGATTCTCACTACAGCAAGTGGCCCGTGCCTGTGCTTGCCCGGTGCTTAATGTGCTTCCAGAGGCCTGGAGATTCCACTCTCTGATAAATATTTTCTCACCTCCCCACAGCTCACACTTCAGCAAACACCACTGAATCACAGAGTTAATCAAAGTGTGGAGCGCTCCAGTGATGTGGGTGGTACAGTGATTGTCAATGCTTGAATCGCAGATTATTGCATAGTTTGGAAAGGTTGGGTGCTGGTCTGATAAAGAGTCTGAACGGGTCTACGTGCCTGGCTCAAATTATTCATAACTTCATGTCATTAGATGAAAAAAAAAAAATCTCTTTTGAAATTGGCACCAGCACTCAATGCCATAAAAGTGTCAAGTGACTTGTAAATTCAACTTATTTTTTAATTAGTATTATTTTAGTTATTATTCAAATTATTGTTTTAAATAAACTCAATAATAATAATAATAATAAATTATAAAAAATAAAACAGTATTCCACCTACAATGAAAAATAATTATTAATAAAAATATTAATTAATTTATTTATTTTATAATATAAATTAATAATAATGATAATGACAACAACAACAATAATTATTAATAAAAATACATTTAGAAAATATTCATATATTTTAGAATACAAATTCATAATAATAATAATAATAATAACAACATCAAAATAAAACAGTATGAACAATAAAAAATAATTATGAATAAAAATACATTTAGAAAATATTAATATATTTTAGAATATAAATTAATAATAATAATTATTATGATTGTTATTATTATCATGATCATCATAATTGTTCAAGAAATAAACAAAGATGCTGAGAATATATAATATATGTATAGATCAATATATACTGGACCAGGATGAAATATCAAAAATAAAATAATAATAATAATAATAATGAAATGCCATTATAATGGCAGTCTAATGCGAGTTTTGAGTAAATGTTGCTTAAAATAAATGTCAAACATTAATTAAAAGCATCATTTACTCAAAACTTACTTCAGACTGCCATTATAATGGCACTTTAATATTATTTTTATTTTAGTTATTTCATCCTGGCCCAGTATATATTGATCTATTACTAGAGTACACAAGAGAGTTTAGAGATTTTGTAACGCATCCATCCATTCCCTTCTCATTTTGTTTCCTCCAAGACTAGGGAATAATTGAGTTTTATTTTTGTTTTTCCACCTGCATTAGCAGGAACAATGTGCCATCTCCTTTTCTCTAGAGTGTTTTTTACCTCGCTGTCTAGTGGAAAATGGGTTGTACAGTGACGACCCCCTCGACACCAGTAGAGAATGTGGAGTGGTGTTTCTCCGCAGGGCTAATAGATCACTGCACAATCTAATAACACAAGGTTATCTGCTTCACTGCCCGTTTCCTTCAAGGCCATGAAGCTAAACGTGGAATAGTGTGTTCCCTTCTCTGACCTGTGGCCTTGCGCCCCATTTAATGGTGATTCATTTTTTGTCTATGCTCATTTGCTTGGCTGCTTATGGAACATCTATAGGTGCATTTTGCTTTTCATATGTCTTTTATACTTACAGTAAGCGGTTCTGTGTTGTACTGAAAGTGGCAGAAGTATGTGAATGTATGGTAAGTGCTAAATCTGCTGTCGGTATGATGTGCCATCTCCTTTTCTCTAGAGTGTTTTTTACCTCGCTGTCTCGTGGAAAATGGGTTGTACTGTGACGACCCCCTCGACACCAGTAGAGAATGTGGAGTGGTGTTTCTTCGCAGGGCTAATAGATCACTGCACAATCTAATAACACAAGGTTATCTGCTTCACTGCCCGTTTCCTTCAAGGCCATGAAGCTAAACGTGGAATAGTGTGTTCCCTTCTCTGACCTGTGGCCTTGCGCCCCATTTAATGGTGATTCATTTTTTGTCTATGCTCATTTGCTTGGCTGCTTATGGAACATCTATAGGTGCATTTTGCTTTTCATATGTCTTTTATACTTACAGTAAGCGGTTCTGTGTTGTACTGAAAGTGGCAGAAGTATGTGAATGTATGGTAAGTGCTAAATCTGCTGTCGGTATGTTTCTGTCAGATGCCCGGACATGCAGCATGGCGAACTGCCAGTACGGCTGTGAGGTAATGAAAGGAGAAGTTCGCTGCCAGTGCCCTTCTCCAGGTCTACAGCTGGCTCCAGATGGCAGGACCTGTGTGGGTATGTGTTCATGGCTAATGCATTTCTGCAGCAGCTGATCACAATTCACTGCTTTAAATGCTTTAGAAATAACATTCACTCTTATTTTGTCGGTAAACCCCCAGTTCAAAAGAATCATCTCTTTAAATCTGTCATTAAAAGTGCCAATAAATTAGCTGTCAATAAAAAGTGACATTTAACTGTATAAATAGTAGATAATACGTACAATTTTTATAAATGATTAGTGCTGTCAAACGATTAATCGCGATTAATCACATTCAGAATAAAAGTTTGTATTTACATAATATATCTGTGTGTACTGTGTATATTTATTATGTATATATAAAAATACACACACATACAGCATATATTTTGAAAATATTTGCATGTATATACATGTATATATTTATATTCATATAATTTGCATTATATATAAATATATTTAATATATAATCGTAACATATTTTTCTTAAATATATATACATGCATGGGTGTGTATTTGTATATACATAATAAATATACACAATACACACATATACTATGTAAACAAAACCGTTTATTTTGGATGCGATTAATCGTTTGACAGCATTATAGATGATATATCAATTTCATATATATTATACATTATTTATAAATTATTAATTTATAAATTAACATTACTCGTTCAGCTCTTCATTTATTAGTATTTATTATTAATTATTAATTATTTATCATTTTTCAATTCTCCAACTGTTAACATTAGCAATGACACTAGCAATGGCATTCATTAAGAAAAAAATGTCAATAAATATGATACATTTTGAATAATAATAGTAATATAAAATATTATATAATTGTTACATATAATAAAATGTATATTTTTATTTTTTTTATTAAATGTCTTAATGGTAGATTTAATGTAATTATTATATATTATTATGTATTTTTACATAATCATTATACATAACTACATATTAATATATAAGACTTAATAATATATTAACAATAATTAAATTCATATATATTTTATTTTTAATGATTTTAATGCCATATATATATATATATATATAGTATATGATGCTATAAATGCCATTTCCAGGGAATGAAGATACTGATAAAAATGTATAGGCCTATCCAGAAATTGCCTTGAATGAAAGCATCTGTTAATTTGCATAACTGTAAATAGATGTAGACTTCAGGCAGGAAAAAAAAAACGGAATAAAAAATGATATGACCCCTTTAATTCAGAAGAAAATAGAGTGCAATCTCTTTGTACTCTTGTCATCTTTTGAATATGTGACATGATCTAGACTTTTTCTGTTGTGGCTGTCAGACAAGATGACAAAATTTTGCTATTACGTACAAAACAGTCGCTTTCATTCACAGCTACGTTCCTGCTCCAAAACCTTAAAGATCGCAATAGTCCTTGACAACAGAGCTGAGCTTCTGTCTTTAAATCCGGTAATTATGCTTTAAGTGCTTGGAAATTTCATTGTGGTATTCGTTAATGACTGCATTAATGGCATGCCATAGTCTCAGAGACCACATCTTACATAAACATCTTTAAGAAGCCCATATTCACATCCTAACCACACAGTTTGCTAAATCACAAACGGAATGCGACAAATTGAGTCTGTTAACCTGCAGCACTTCTGCACACACATATGTCTAGCCTCCACTCTTTACATTTTTCCCACCTTTCTGCCTTTTTCTGGAGGCTATGAGGAGAACAGTGTGAGTTTTTTAAAAGAGGACCATCAATCAGAGACTGACCATCTTAATGTTTCACAGCACAGGTGTTCAACTCTTCAGGTATTTCAGCAGAGGACTTTTATTGCTCCGAGGAGGGCAGCTCGTGTTAGATGGATGTCTGTACACGCACACAAAAGTGTCGAGTTTGCTGTACGCTGCTCTCAGACTCCTGCAGAGCATTCACACGCCGCTTGATGCATATCGCAATTTAGCTAAACCGTAAATGCAGCATATGCCAACACAAAAATATTAAAGTATATATATAAAGAGTAATGTACAGAGAGCCAGTCAACATCTCCAACAGCATTACGCAACATATACGTTGACAGATCATGAATAACAGTAAAAACCTCAAGAACCAGACTTTAATTCACTTTGATCCAAAAACCCAAAGAGCTTGTAAAAGAGTGGAGAAACGACGGATCGGTGTGTTTGTTTTGCAGATGTGGATGAATGTGCCACAGGTCAAGCGGTTTGTCCGCGGTTCCGTAAGTGCATCAACACATTTGGGAGTTACATCTGCAAGTGCCATGATGGCTTCGACCTGCAGTACATCAACGGGAAATATCAGTGCGCAGGTGAGCCGGTTTGAGTAAATACAGAGGATGTGTTTGTTTGACAGCTAAAAACCTTTCAAACAATGTGAATTAGTAGTCATATTTTGATTTGAAGATTCGGAAATACTGAAAGCTTTGGTTTTGCCTGGAACTTATCTCTAAAAAAAATCTTTGTACACTTTACTCACATTCCTGCCAACAGCAGATGATTTGTGCCAAGTTCAGGTTTGAAATAATACAGCGGCAATTGTTTTAAACAACATTTCACGTTTTTCAATTTTATAAATAGATATCAAGATCGCTCTGTTCCAAAACTTAGTGAGTTGCCTGTAAGAGGCATTTTCTGGTCTCATAGGTTTGCTTTCAAAAAGTTGGCAAAATGCATTGGCAACCTCACATTGGCTAGTTGTAAGAAATTATTGCATGTATCCTTCACAGACAAGACATCCCCCCCCCCCCCATGCCTATTATTAACATATTGGCTGTTTATTATAATGCTTATAAAGCACATATTCTGCATGACCCTAATCCTTCCCAATACCTAAACTTAACAACTACCTTGCTAACTGTTAATAAGCATCAAATTAGGAGTTTATTGAGGCAAAAGTCATAGGTAATGGTTTGTTAATAGCAAGAATTGAACCTTAAAATAAAGTGACAAATTCAGAAATGGTGTGTTATTGTCTTGTTTTAGATGATCAAAAGAGCTGTTCTTAACCAATTAGTACCAAGTAGCCATGCATCAAAATTTTGACAACTGCAAATATTTGTCTGAAATAGCAAAAAAGGAAAAAACAAAAAAGTAAGTTTACAGCGCTTCTCCTAGGGTCAGTGTCTATTTCATGCACACACTGTGCATAAACTACAACAGTAGTGCTGGATAACAATATCGACTTCTTGATTTGAATCAGTCTTCATTTTGATGATTGGTTAAATCCCAAGGATGAGGTTTTAGTCTATGCTGTTTTCAGTTGATGTCTGAACAAAAACGCACCTGGCATGCACTAATCACAGTAAGCTTCTTTTTTGCAATGTCTCATAAGTGTTCAAATTGTCAACATTTTATTGTGAAATTCAGACAATACCATTTTGTATTTTTGCAATACCATTCCTCTGGCATAATAATAGCTCACAATATTACTTGTTTTTGTATTTTTGATCAGATAAATGGTGAACATAAGAGACTCCATTGAGATACATTAAAAAAAATATTGCTAACTCCAAACTTTTGATTGTAGCTCACTAGGTTTTAGAACAGAGCCAGTGACTTCCTGCTTTAATTTTTTATTTATTTATTTATTTATTTATTTTAGATGTGAATGAATGCTCTTCAACTCAACACCAGTGTAGTCCATACGCCACCTGCTATAACACACCTGGTTCATACAAGTGCAAGTGTAAGGACGACTACAGAGGTGTGGGCTACGACTGCAAACGTGAGTATGCATACCAAAGAACTATACTGCTATTGCATCATAACAGTTCGCTACACTAAAAGTAACATTTTTATTGGCATCTGTGGTTCAACAAAGAACACCAATGGAATCTTTCCATTCCACAAAAGGTTCCTTATTGTAGAAAATGGTTCTTTAGGTTATTAAAATGTTCTTCAGGCTAAGAAAAAAAGGGTTGTTTTAAGAACTGATCACTGAAGACATTTTTTGGAACCTTTATTTATGCACAATCTGCAATACTACAGTGGATACAGAAATCCAAACTGAGAATAAAATTATCACAACAATAAAAATATTTTAAGTAACACTTTATCAAACTTTCCAGTTTTATTCCTGTTTATATTCCGAAGGTTGTTACATAACATTTTATTCTTGGCTGTTGACAGAATTTTCTGATTTATGAAGTGATAAAAAAAGATATCCAAAATCCCCTGTGTAAAACCTTTTAACTCTAATATGTCAACAACAACAAAATAATTTATTTTGGCTTGGTAAAAAAATATACCATAAACTCATTAGTCAGATAAAAAAATATACTGTAGAGAGGGGCATTTTGCTTAATATATGCACCATATAACATATTCATTATAATTTTTACTGTAATTCAATGCTTCATTTATATCAAGTTTTATGACAGCCACCATTTAAATGTTTACATTTCAAAAAGAAACTAATTGAAGTAGAAATATTATTATGTAACTATAACTTTATTATTGTAAAAAAAGTTTAACCTTCAATATTATAGTAATGTAGTATCAACTGACTTATGTATATTTTACAGCATTAGTTATTAGATTTTTTTTTTCCTTGAGAAAATTTGGCATGTACTGTACCTGATATATATCCAAAATAATCGATATTGAATCGAATCGGTAATCAAATCGAATCGTACGCTTGTGAATGAGAATCGAATCGAATCGTGAAATTTGTGTCAAAACCCAGCCCTACAAATTAGTGCATTTTTCAGTACATAATCTATTATTTGCATATTTAAACATAACATTTCAGAAAGCTTGTAATAGAAAAACAGTTGTCTTAATTTACTGTGATTAATCAACTGGGGAAGTATTTTGATATCTTTTAGTTCAAATGTTTACTCTTTTCACCTGTGGGGTCTTGCCGTAGACCATTACTGCAACTGCAGCTACAGCACTGGGGTAAATGTGTCCTTTTTGTAGACATTTTTCCCTTTCCTTGGATTGGTGCTCTTGTCAGTAAAGAAAAGAAGATGGATGGCGCAAAATCTTGATGAAAAGCCGCAGTCTCAGCCAGGAAGTTGAACATAGGTAGACTGTTAAGCTTTCAGCGTGACAGCATCCCATAGCACAATGCCAACAGAGAGAATAGTGGCTGAATGACAGGAAGGACAGTGTCCATGAGTGGCCGAGTCCTGACTGAAATATTCAAAAAATCTTTGGAATTAATTGAGCTGGACAGTCCATCAACGGTTACATTGCAAATTCATGTAGATGACAATAATCGAGGAAAAAAAGAGAGGACATATATATGAAAAAAATATACCCTGCTTCCATTAAATATATTTTAAAATGTAATTTATTTCTGTGATGGCAAAGCTGAATTTCCCTTCAGTGTCATGAGATCAGCTAATATGCTGATTTGCTGCTCAACAGTTGTGCTGCTTAATACTTTTAGTGGAAACCATGATACGTTTTTTCAGGATTCTTTAATGAAGAGAAAGTTTCAAAAGAACAGAATTTATTAAATGGGAGAAATGACATGTCTGGGTATACAGCGGGTAAAATAAGTATTGAACATGTCATCATTTTTCTCAGTAAATATATTTCTAAAGATGCTGTTGGCATGAAATTTTCACCAGATGTCGGTAACAATCCAAGTAATCCATACATACAAAGAAAACAAAACAAATACGTTTAGAAATTAAGTTATGTGTAATAAAATGGAATGGCGCAGGGAAAAAGTATTGAACACGCATACTGAAATGTATTTATTACTTTGTACAAAAGCCTTTGTTGGTAATGACAGCTTCAAGATGCCTCCTGGATGGAGAAACTAATCGCATGCATTGCTCAGGTGTGATTTTGGCCCATTCTTCCACATGAACAGTCTTCAAATCTAGAAGGTTCTGTGGGCCTCTTCTATGAACTCTGATCTTTAGTTCTTATTTTCTATTGGATTCAAGTCAGGTGACATCAAACTTTGATGTGGCATTCTAGCAGCTTTATTTGTTTCTCTGAAACCAATTGAGAGTTTTATTGGCTGTGTTTGGGATCGTCTTGCTAAAATATCCACCCTTGTTTCATCTTCATCATCCTGGTACTGTAGGTATTGGGACTGAAGCAGCTAATATTAATTTCCACTGACTAGGGGCAGGATTGCTTTCTAATTACTGATAGATTTCTGCTGGTGTCTTGGCTTTCCATGCCTTTTTGCACCTCCCTTTCTTCATGTGTTCAATACTTTTTCCCTGGGTCATTCCATTTTATTACACATAACTTAATTTCTGAACTTATTTGTTTTGTTTTCTTTGTATGTATGGATTACTTGGGTTGTTACCAACCTCTGGTGAAAATTTTAAGTCAACAGCACCTTTAGAAATATATTTACAGAGAAAAATGGTGACGTGTTCAATACTTATGTTACACGCTGTATATATCCTTTAGAAAAATAAATAAATAAAATGAAATGGTAAAAAAAAAATGCTGGCAATAATTTCCTGGTGAAAGTTAAATAGTATGTGGCTGAAGGGATTTTGTTGTTGTTGCAACACTTTAGATCTGAAAGAAAATATCTGTCTTGCAAATCATCTCCCTGTTTGGAATGCTTTTGTCTGCTGTGGCTTTAGTCAGGAGTGTCTTGAGCTTGATAGCTGCCATGTTTTTAATCTTCGTGAACAAAGAGAGGCTCGCCGTGAGCATCAGGTGACATCACAACTGAGCACTCCGCTGCTTTTACACACCACTGTCAGTGGCTTTATCTGTGTAGTGTTATACATGCATTGCTGTAGTCTTGATCTTGTTATTATTTGTTGAGTGGACAAAAATACAGTTGTTCTGACACCTGATTTAATCAATGTTAAACCAATGAGGCAACACATCCCTCCTCAGCATCTGGTCTAGAAACTTTCAGCCAGGTGTAACTCAGAAGTGCTGAAAGGGTTGAATTACTGCTTTTTTGGGAATCGCATATCAAAGCTCCTGTGAAACCTGAGATAGTATTGTCACATTCATTCCTTAAGGACGACACAAGCACGACGGTTAACACTTCTGGTATTCACGTTGAATGTGATGGATGGATTTCATGCATTCATTGTACACATGAGCTGAAACCATCCTTTTTATTTTCATCTAAAATTAATGGTGAAATTTCTACTGGAGCCTTATTTGACATAATTATGATGAATTACAAAGCTAGAGTAACAGCAAAAATACAACAAGAAAAAGGGAAGAACTAATGGTCCTGAAAAATATGTGAATAATAATGAAAAACAACTTAAACCAGACCTCTTTTTTTGATATTTTCAACTGGTTAGTCTAGTTGTTGTATTATTAGCTTAACTTACAGTAAACATATATTTTAAATAAATTAAAAAATATTTTTATATTTAAAAAATATAAAAAATAATTACGTTTTGGGCATTTGGGCATTCAGCTGGTCAGGCTTGGAGACCAACTTGACAACCAGTTAAACCATCTGAATGCCAGCTATGCCAGATTTAAACCTATGCAACGAGGAAAAAGACTTGGTAGAGACTAACTTAACTTCAAATTAAACTAAGAATCCTCTTTGTTCTTTTAGCCATCCCAAAGGTGGTAATTGACCCACCACGACCTGGAAAGACCACTCCGAGCAACAATAACAACAAAGGGGGCAATAAAATTCCAGGCTCGGACCAGAAGAGGACCACCACAACAATCAGACCACCTGTGACGGCTAAACGGATCTCACCTACAGCAACAACAATAACCACTAAACCTCCTCCAACCAAAAAAATCACCCCTCCAGCGAGAGTCCCAACGACCACCACCCGTAGGCCTCTCATCCCGACACGTAAACCCCCTGTGGTGGTGACAACCAAACCTAAGCTCCCATCCCGTCAGCAGCCTACCACAAAAGCCCCGGTGGTTACAGCGGTGGTTCCCTTTATCCCAACACGCAGACCTTTCATCCCGTTTGTGACGCCAGTTGATAACAGCATTAAAGACATTACCCAGAAACAAAGAGGGGATGTTCACAGTAAGTAAATCTGCTTCAATGTTATTTAGATTTTCACAATTCCTCTGCCTTAAAGTGCGGTCACATTAACGAAATTTGGGCGACTCGCACAGAAGTTACTTTCAAAACAAGCAGCTTTTTGTAGGTCAACGTGACAAATCAGTGCGACCAACTTGAACCCTTTGCTAAATCTGCATGGGTAAATCTTTAGGCCTCGCATGAAATTCCTGATCACTTGGATTCCTAATGAAATGACTGGATTTCGCTTATGAAAATTCGCCAAACACAGGGGTGTCCAGTCCTGCTCCTGGCGCACCAGTGTCCTGAAGAGTTTTGCTCTGAACTACCTTAACACACTTTCTTCGAAGTTTCTAGTAATCCGAAACAACTTGATTAGCTGGTTCAGGTCTTTAATTAGGATTGAAGCGGAACCAGAGGTGTCCAATCCTGCTCCCTGAGGGCCAGTTTTCTTAAGAGTTTAACTCCAACAAGTCTGAATAACCTTGACTAGCTTGATTCAGGTAAAATTAGGGTTGGAGCTAAACTCTGCAGACCAGTGGACCTCCAGGGGAAAGATTGGATACCCCTGCATTAGTTGAGCCAACCTGTAAGTTTTTTTAGCCTGAAATGACTCTTTGCAAAGACCTGCCCCCTTAGTTACTGTTGCTATGTCCAACAACCCATGGTGCTCTCACACCACACATCATGTGAAAAATCATGCAAACTGACAATGCGTCGACAGACAAGACAGATCAGGTTACTTCTGGTGTCAAACAAAGTCTCAGCTTTCAAATTTTGTCATTTTTTAAAGAAATTCCAACAATAAATGTGTCACTTTAATGTGTCATGACAGATCGCTGTAGTGCCGATCAAACGATCATCTCTTCCTCTTTACTAGTTATTTTATGAAATAAACAAATGAAAATCAGAAGGTAACTTGTTTGAACCAAAAGACGTCAATACACTTTTCAAGTTCAATTCCACCAACATTAATCTACTAGTGAACTTACTTGCTTTAAAGCCCTTTGATACCATAGTGTGTGCCATATAATTTTATGATTCAGAAACATGCTCCCCAGTGCCACCTCAATGCACTCTTTGCTGAGCTCGCACTAGTCTACGCAACAGTCCGTGTGCTGTTTTGTAACCAATGTGTGAATTCAGAGGAGAACCACTGAGTGCATCATTTGGGACTGAGCCATGAAGGCCTTTGGATCTGTCCAGGAAAACCATTTCCAGGCCTAAAGGACTATGTTGTTTCCTTCACATTCATAAGCTTTTTTTGGGCATCTCCTGGGCTTCCCACAAGGCAGATTTTTCAGGGAAGCAAATTGCACCCCAAAGCCTCCTATCCAGATGACAGCACCTAATGAAAACAGAAGACACCTAGAGAGATTACATTACCAGTCGGCCTTGCCTCAGGACATAAATCAGTTACCCTGCACTGCCTTCGAGGGCTCAAATAGGCCTAATAAATAATGATGCCTCTGAAAATAACAGTGGGGAAATAAAGTAAATAGACTCCTAGGGATGAAGTATAATTATGTCTCCTTGATCAATTAGAAACAATAACAAGCATGTCAAAGTTGAACAGCCCCAACATGAACACCTGCAGTGTTTGGAAACGACCCTAAGGTGAAGTTGGTTTATTACATGTTCTTATTAGGTTAGAGGACGGGCTGCACATAGTGCTTTCACAAGCAAAGACTTGAGGGATAATTTAAATCAATAGACTAATCACAGACTTGACTTCCATCCAGTTGTTATCCTGCCATATATTTGATGTACACACTCTCACTTGTCACCAATCCTCCATTAAGTCTGTATTTTGGTTATAGGTTAAAGAATTGAGGCGATAATTGTCTTGTCCCCAACATTTATTTGTTTCGGTTAAGCCATAAGGTACGAGAGACTGTGCGAGCCTGCGAGCCCTTTAGCCATTCACAATATAGTGTCTTACTGATGCAGTCAAGAACAATTAAGCAATGTCATTTAGTTCTTGTGTTATTATTACATAATATTTTAAAAAGATTAATCACCTACTCACTATACTGCATGCTCACTATACTATACTACTCACTATAGTCTAACTGTTTGTTTTCTTTTCTCCCTTCTAGTACCACGAAATCACGGGCAGAACAATGTGCTTGATATCGATTTACACATTGAACTGGGCAACACAGAAGAGGAGCTGAAGGATGACCCAGGTAAGAGACGGCTGCTTTTATTTTGGCTGAAACTGCGGATGGATTTTCAGTGTTTGATGATTGCTGTAGTCTGTAGATATATAGAAACAGACATACTGTACTGTATGGGAACACAGTGAGACTGTATATTTGCAATTACCTCACAGTCATCTTGTAGTTATTAATCTTGACTTACTATGATGTCACTCCAGATGAATTGGCTCAGTGGTGTGAGGTGAGCAGCTTTCATTGGCCTTCATGAAATACCCACGCTTCACTGAACCCTGTGGGAAATTCAGGAATAGCACCGTTTTGAGTTACTTTTCATTTAGCAGTTTCACCTACTCGGCTTGCAAGGGCAGTTCCCCTGGAGCGAACTGTTCAGTGTGTTACTCAGGGCCGTGATGATAATAGAGGATCTCAGTTAATGGGCATCTTGAATCGATCCCGTAACGCTGGGAATAGCAGCTTAGAGCCTTAACCAGTATTTTGTTTGTATGCAAACAGGGTGTGAGAAATTAACACTTACCACCAGCCACATGATTGATTTTTATCTACCAGTGTGGAGGGAGACCTATAAGAAACAGATATCTGTCAAGGCAGGCCATTGTTTGGAAACAATTTTTTTTTTTTTTTTTTTTTTTAGATAATGGATTACCATTTGTATTTATTTTTACTAAAATTCCATGGTTAAACTATGGTTAGTGTAGCAAAAACCATGGTTAATTTGTGGTTACTA